GTCCACTACTGAGAACCAAGGTTCAAAACTGAAGCAATCCATGTAAAATTTACAGTACACAATGCAGACTCCAAACGTATTTTCTGTCCGGCAGTTTCCACATTCTCTTACCCCTGAGAGACCGTGACGTAATCGTTTTAATCTCATGACCCATTACCCATGCGTCAATTTTTATCAGGTATGATCAAAAATGTTTAGGAACTGAGGATCATAACAATAATCCTCCCCTTGACGAATTGTTCCTACGCCGCCGATATCCTCGTGGCAAGGCTATCTGAGGATCTCTAAGATACCAAGAGGACATTGACAACACACACCTGATTTATCAGTAATCAGTGTAGTAATCAATTAAGACAGGAAAAGATCATCAGTCTCCGTGTCTTATTCGTGTGTAGTGAGTAGTGTCCTTCTCATTATACATCACGTGTCAGTCCAATTAGATCACCAACTTAGATGGCTCATGACATTAACTGATGTCACTGCAGTGCCTCTAACCGGGAGGTCCTAAGTTTCGTATCCCAGCGATGAGAGAATTTTCGTCACGAGATAGGTTGGTCGAATCCAACCCCTGTCTAGAGGAGAAGTCTAGCGACCGGCTGCTCTGATCGGTAGTTTTTTTTCAATCAGCTCCAGGCGAATGCCGGTACAGTACCCGTTATTAGGGTCACGGACTGCGCAAAATTGTTCCTTCCTTTTCCTTGTCTATTTCCTCCCTCCTTACATACATACACAAACACAAGCACTACTCTACCACAAAGATCAGGACACCAGTCGAGGGCTTAGTGTTCCCGGCTGGGCAATAGCCTGCTGGTGGAAATGAAGTGGCTGGGGAAACCCTTCAAGCCAACGTGAAGGTCGATGCGTGATCACATGCACCAGAATGGTGGATGGTTACCGCCATTTCCTGTGGTAAACCAATGCATTAAACGTAGTCTCTCGAGGCAGACCGCAAGACTAGGAAACCTCCCACGTGGAGGAGGTAGACCCATCTGTGAGGTCACGTTCATGTGAAGTCAGTCCCTAGGACTTTGTTGTTCTGTGGCATTGTGTATCAAATTTGAGTCGGACGATCGGAAAAAAAGCCTCGTTATTAGTATTACGATATTAAAATTTTTAATAAGAATCACTTAACTGTGCCACCTAACTGCCGATCAAATTGGAAATTTATCTTCAACCCTAAGAAAATACATGGAAACTATCACGTTTTTGTCATTCTCTGCAAGCAGAGGCGCGATCTCAGGAAATGTTGAACTTGGGTTCTAGGTGAAAGAAGTGTAATAAACTGAAGTTTGGAACCAAGACGATACTAGTCATGATTCATGGACTATTTTACTTGATGCCAACAAAGTTTCATATTTTACATGCCCATTTACACCATTTTTGTCTTAGAATAAAAGTATTTTTTATTTAATTACTTGATTATTAAAAATAGAGGACCTGCCGAGGTGGCTAAGAGCGTGTACTGACTAAGCACTTCGGACTGAAAGATCGCGGATTCGAGTTCCGCCTTTTACATGGTTGTTTGTCCCTCGTCTCTCATTTATGAATTGTCGCGTTCTGCTGACCCCAGATCGGAAGAGCCTGCAAGTGTTTTGGTTTCTAATATGTGGTCGAATATGCGTCCCATCGGGGCTTAGCGGTCAACAGGGTGTCGGCTGAAAAAATACTTATTAAATATAAAATAAAAATAAATGGATCTTTGACTGTTTTAATCAAAACAAATACCTGATCTTCCGACCTCTATAGATGTACTATAGAGGCAATGCAAACCTGTCCCTGAACAAAATAACACAAAACAGTTTTCAGAAAAATGGCACCCACACAAAAACACATTACGTTTTCGCAAAGAACACTGTAATACATTAGATATTTTAACAAAAGCAGTCATAACTAATACTGCAATAGCATAGTACATTATTTATGCAGTACAGCAGTTCTTTACATACCACGAATAAAAAAGAGTTGCAGTTGCATAACCCAACATGTAAATAGCAAATATTTTATGAGAGCAGGATCTTCTTCAGAGCCTTAAGGCCCATTCACAAAGCAAACATAAACATAAGCATGGCATTGACATAACATTTTGACTACGTCCATGAACGGACTCATTCTCAATGCGTTCGCATAAGCATAACACGTAAGACGTTAACCTTGCTTGCGAACTTCAAGCTTCTGTGCTTATGCTTAAGTAAGACATAATAAATAAACCAATCACAGCACGTTAACTCAAAATCGAGAATCAAAATATGAGCAAAGTCGATAGACGAACTAACGACATATGAGCCATGGACACAGTCGATACCTCGAAATTGATTCTCACTTCCAACCAATAGTAAACTAGAATGTCTCACAGCCAATAGAAACTCTTATTATGCTTACGTTCATGTTACACCTAGTGAATACTTCAGTCAATCACTTATGTAAATGTTTACGTCTATGCGTTATGCCTATGTTTAAGTTTGCATTGTGGGGAGTGTTTACTATCGTATGACGCTGTGTCGTAACGAGTGATGCACGAGTCCGACAATACGAGAAATAACTTATAATCAATTATTATAATTTTTGGGAAGAAACTCGAATCTGTTCTATTGTTTTAGGATTTTACCGAGTTTCTGGATATGTAACAGAAGTACTAACTACTCACGCATGTCTCAAAGGCTGCTTATATTTCTCTCAATTTCTGAAAATAAACCAAATTAGTAATGTAGATATTTTTACATTTCCATATGTTCCTAGGTATGTGTCGAAGCCATTGACCGGACTCACATCGCCTCAGGCTGCTTAGTTGCTCTTCAATTTCTACGCGCATAAGAAATTAGTAATATCGATAAGTGTATTGTCGTAAGTAATTTCACTATTGGTTTGAAACAACAATTTCGCGAGTCGTATAGCGAGAAGCGTACTTCTGAGAAGTCATAAATGGATTAAGTGGTAGGAAAATAATGTTAAAAATAGCGAACATATATTTCTTGGTGGGTTGTTTGAGACTGCAGCATTCGTCATGGAAATAGTTTTTATTTTCTATCCGAAAGTCATCTGCGGTAAGACGATAGCGAAAAGTTGTCATGTGAACTTTTCGATTTTCGATTCCCGTGATAGATTCATGACTATCGTATCATGTGCTATGACCAGATTGAATTTAAAAAGTAATGAGTTTGTATTTTGGCACAACAGCTCTTTAGGAGCTCAGGCGTACTAGCAGCGTCCCTACCTTGCGGCCATGGGTTACGGCAGGCCTAAACAATGCGTGCTCTTGAGGGCAATCTGCACTTACGAGCCATCCGCCTGCCGGCAAGAGATGCCAAAGTGCAAGTAGTCGGGTGTAGGCAGCTAAGGGGAGGAGAGAGTGGGGTCGACGCGGCGCGTACATTGAGTGCCTGGGCGTCTACTGCATTGATCCATGCAGTGAAATGATTTAACCACATATTTAAATGGATAATCTACCGTATTTGTAGATACAAGGGCCATATTCCACTGTTTATATTCTAGTGTACACTGCTAGGAATCGACATTTTTGTATTTTTTTACTTAGTTCTCATTGTAACTCATAAACAATATTTTAAACCAATGGCCTCTTTCAAAAATGTATTATGTAATTTTTTCTAACAAGTTAATAATGTATTTTTCACCGACAATGTCAGAATTCCGTACCTTACACATCGATATCAAAGAGTAGAAATACCGTACTGGCACGAAAGGACATTATTTATATATCTTGACAATTTTTTACCAATTGAATATGGTGTTCCGTAAGGCTTGATTTTAGGTCCTATCCTCTGTCTGTTATACGTAAACGATATGCCGTCGTCTACTAAAAACGGAAGAACGGTTCTATTTGACGATGACACGTTTGTTCTTTGCAAAAAAGAAACAATAAATAGTACGATTTTAGGAGTTTCAAATTGGTTTTGTAATAACAAATTAATAGTTAATGAAGGCAAAAAACTTTCAATGCATTTTTGCCTTTCAATTCAGCAACCGCATGCTCCATTGAAAATGAATAATATGCAATTAGGTGATGTTCAGGTAACAAAATTTCTAGATCTGTCAATTCGGTCAAACATGAAATGGAATGTACATATAACAAAATTAAACACTAAATTAAGTACATTATGTTACGCATTCAGAATTCTATCAAATTCATGCAGGTCGTTGCGTGTATTTTGCAAATATACATTCCCGCCTCACATATGGTATAAAATTCTGGGAAATAATTTACTACTCAGACCTTTAGACTGTAAAATAAAATTATTGCAATAACGAAAAATGCCATCCGCGTTACCCTTGCAAGCCTCTCTTCATTGAGCTTGGAATCTTATCACTGCCTTGCCTATATATTAACGAATCTATATTTGTCAAAAATGACTTACTTAACGGTGGAAACATATTTTTATGCAATACTGAAATTTATAATTACAACACACATCGTAAAAATCACTTTCATCAAGTGTCAGTAACAACAGATCACTGTCAGAAATCCACATACAATACATGTACGTTACTTTATAACGCACTGCCAGATGACATTAAACAATTGAAGTCGGTTCACACATTTAAGTTAAAAGTAAAATCTTTTCTGTTGCATAACTGTTTCTATACATTTAGAGACTATACTGATTATCAAAAAGAAAAAGAATGTTTATTTTAACAAAACAGTGATATACGAAATGAATTAGTTTACATTTTTTGTATAACTTTTAAAAAAGACTTAATATCTTTGTAACAAATAATGTACTTCAGCTTCCGAGTCAATGACCCCAATCTCCATCGGGTCAATGACCCACCTCCAAATGATCGCAAAACGGAGAAAATTGAGAGCAGTATCTCACATCGCGATTGATCTAAAATGAAATATAGGCAATTTCAAGAAGGGCAATGTTTAGCAGCACATATATTTCCCCTCATTATGAAGCTGAATAAGATACCACCCGCGTGGCCGGTTACCCATCCGCGTGGCCGGCCGTGGCCTGCGAAGCAACAGGTGCGCTTCCCGTGCGCAGAATCGCCTGGCGGCCGAGCGGGCGCTAGCGGCAGCGGCCGCCGCCGCAGCTGCCGCCGCCGCCGCCGATGACAAAGACGCAACTGGGGAGGAGGCTGACGCGGCGGGTGTGAACAAGATGGCCCAGGCGGCGGAAGGCAGCACAGCGGCCGCAGAGCCGCCCGCCCCCGCTGCGCCCAGACCCGCCAACACAGGTGAGCGCGCTCGCTCGGCAAACAGAGGGGAGCGGCTGGATGTGGTCGTTTTACTTCATGGCAACAGAACACCAATGACCCATACTCAATTACTCCAACTTCGAACCATCTGAGGTAGTTCATTGCGACACCTGCGTCAACTAATGGCATTGCTGTGCCTCCGACTTGGATGTCGTAGGGTTTGAGCTCCGGCGGTGGCAGGATTTTCGACACTAGTTAGAAATCGAATTAAATCGCTAACACGAGAAGAATTCTAGCGGCCGGCTGCTCTAATTGTTAGTGTTCCGTGGTTTCTCCGAAGAACACCAACATAACAAACCGACCACGGGCTGTGCCTGATCTTTCCTTCCTCTTTCCTGTATTATCCTCAGCCCTTATATACACACACGTACACGCACCACACCACACATGTCAGGAGACTAGTCGGCAGTTAAGAGCTTGTCCTTGCTGGGGCGGTGCCCCGCTGGTGAGACATACGTAGATGGGAAAGTCTCACATGTCTACGTGCAGATCGACGCCAGATCTCATCCAGCGGAGGAAGAACACCGCCACATCCCGGATAAAAACATGCACCACACTTACGGCACTGGCGACCATAAGAATTTGTCATGTGGTATTTAAAATTTTCTATACCTTCTTTTTGATAAACTTCATGAATTAATGTTAAGCTTTGTCTATGTGTTACTCAATTTTTTCTTATTTGCTGGACTTTATCAAAATTCGAGAATCCGCATAACCCAAACAGAAAATACTTCGTGTTTGACTACAGTATCCTGTTAGAATCTTTTGGAAAACTTCTAACTAACCAGTTAGTAATGTGAACATGAAATTGAAGTTTCTATGTTAATTGACTCCGCTGAATAAACTGATTTACTGCTGAAAACGAGATACGTCATTCTCCGCCCATTTCTCTGCATTTGTATAAAATTGTAAAAATTAAATTCCATCTGGTTGCTGCAAAATGGCCGCATATGAATACATGGAAATACATTTTATAAAATTAAATTTTATTTAATGATTAAACATAATGATAAGTCGAGTTGTCTGATTATTCTGGGTATACTAATGACTTGATCTCTTCGTTTACCACCAAATAAGTTGAGTTTTCCGGTTATTCACTCTAATCCTTTCTACAGGCGATCAACAGAGAAGGCTCAGAGGTCTGTATATCTGCGATTATATAGACATGAGAAGGAATGATCTTGGTAGTCCGGGTGCCGCCGCGTCGAAGGCTGTGTTACCGGACAGCCAAGATCATTCACATTACTCCGGCTGCGGAAGCCTACGACTACATGCAAAGGAAGTTGCACATTCGCCCTATCAACTTTGGATTGAGATATTTCCGTTTTATGTCGCATATTTGACCGAGGAGATGTCATTGCAAAATCATGAAGTTAGAAATTAAAAGTGAAAGAAAATAAATAAAAGATTTCATAAATTTCAGACACAAATTACTCGAAATCTACTAGTTTTTTGACAAAATTTTCATGACCTTTCTTGAAGTACATGACAGACTTTGTCTACGTAAAAAATCTCTACCTTCAATTTTGAAGTTTTGAAATGTTAACTTTTGCAATTTTCGATTTCTCTGTTGAACTCTGTTGAATTTTAATTTCTCTGTTGAACTCGAATATGTTTGGCACATTATTTACATGGGTGGAATTCTTATGTTTTCATTATTCTGTGGAGCACTTTCATTTACGTAGCTAAATCTGTTTTCGGTTAGTTTATCTATTTAACGTATTTGTTACTCACTGGTGCAGAGTATGGATCGAGTCCACTGCTAGTGGATTTTTTATTTGGTTGGGAGCTCGAATGTGAATCACTGTCATTGTGACCTCTTTTTCTGAGGTTAGAGTTTATGCCGGGGTTATGATTGCTGAACGAGGCTCTATCTGGTTGCGCCATTTGCTGCGCCGGGTTTACTGACCTTAGAATTGCTGTTATCGTAGAACAAGGTACATTGCTGTAGGGATGTGTTTTGTTCGGGTTGGTCGCTGTAGTACAGGCGATTCTGGCTTATCGAATGTTCCCCATAGCTGTGCAGATCTTCGTGTTGGCCCGATGGGAAGTGGGAAGATGCAACCGTACCGCTATCGAGATTGATAGCCTCCATAGCGCCGGCGATGGTGTGGCCTACGCCACTGCTGGATGATGTTTCTGCGATTCTTGTTGTGTTTACCGCTACAACTATTAATATTTCACTTTGCCAATACACTTAGTCAGTGCACTGAGGTACATTCACGTCACAAAAGTGACGTTACTTAGCAAAGCCTTACGTATCAGGTAGCATACAACTGAGCTGGTCGTAAGAGCGCGATGTGCTCGCCACCATGGCTTAGAGCAAACTGAAAAATAGGGGACAGAAATGAAGGACGGAAGAATGTCCGTCTGACCGTCTGTCTGTCTGTCCTTCCGACATTCTGCTCGTCCGTGAACAACCATAGTGGCTAAACTGTTCAGCCGATTTTCTCCAAAACTACTCCTCCTCAATTGACCCGACTGATGTCGCGGCCCTTTAAATTATTTATTGTTGAATTGCGTGAAATTATTGAATTGTGTGAAGGGAGTTTAAGAGATTAATGCGGGTCTCGTGATAGTTGAAAACCCCGATTTTTCGAAAATGACAAAGGTTCACAATTTTTTCGATGTCTTCCTACGACTACAATTATGAAGATAGAGATTTTTTCTTTAATGAAATCGATTTCTTAAACATAGATTTTGAAAGAAGGTCATATACAATTTTTCAAAAATTTGAGTCCATTTTGCGTGAAAATTCGGGCGAGAAGTACGAGCAGTTTTAGCACCACTAGTTTATAAAGTCGGAATGGAGAAGAAGGGTTTAATTAACTAATATGTAGTGTTAAGTTCACGATTCAAGGTAATTTTCTAATGTCAACGTTTATTAAAAAGAATAACGTACAGTTTTCTGACTCGTGTTTCGTGTACAGTTTTTGTTCTTTCTAATATTATTAAGACAGAATGAATTCTCAAATACCACGAACTTCATGTATTTTCTATCATCAATTTAATACAAACCATATTTCTTTAAAATATCATTCTTTAATTTTTTAAATCGTTGTCGTTTCTCATTTTGGATGTTAACGGACAAAAGTTTTACGAGTATTTAACACCGTTCGGATCCGACCACATGTATGTTTTTTGCAATATACGAATATTGCACGAAGCATATAACGATGGTTATCTGTTTAATTACAGGCCCAACGGAGATTTTCCATAAATCCAGCAAAGAGCTTTACCGCGCTGTGGCAGCGCAATGGGGAATTGCTTGTAAAATGAGTGATCACTGCCGATGCCTCGACTGCCAGGTAAGACAAGCTAAGGAAGGGAATTCTTGCAAAGGTCAGATACATTATAAAATCTTTCGTTTGAGACTCAGGTAGTTATGAATATCTCTATACATTACAAGGGATCAAATTAACGAGACAATTAAGTAGTTTCAATGAACTAAATAGAACAAAATCCAGTTACGTACAAACTTGTAAAATAAACAACCTTCGTTAACAGAACTGTCTGGAGTCACAATAGCCTGGTACACAAATTGGGCCAAGTTTTCTTTTTGGCATCAATGCATGCCCTGGGACTGCGTTCCACGCTTGAACACACTATACCAAAAACTACTTCCGTTTCCATATATGCTTAAATTTGTGTTTGAATACCTTCTCTCATGACGTTAACACCAAATTAAGCAATTGCGTAAGTCTTTAATTTTAAATGTCCTCACAGGACAAAAAGACCATGGGATTCGAATTTGAAGACTTAGTCATTTAATTACGCACTTATCACAAAACCATCTTTGCGGAAAGTGATTTTTCAAAAGCGAAGAAACTATCCGTCTGCGATGAGCTAGAACAACATTACGCATAAACCACATTAGTAGGACGATGTTTAGAGATAGTCGATCAAGGGATGCAATTAATCTCTGAAGCACTTGTAATCAAACTCGGAAAGCCAAAGATGACAATAGGTGATGTCAACCCAAACGTTCATATTGAATCTCTGTTGAAGTCTGTCTTAACGCTATCCGTTACAGTTTTCATGGGACTAAATAAAATTGTTACTATTATTTAAGATTCTTTCACGTGTAAATATAGCCCTATCACTGAGAAAAGTAAATTCCCTAAAATGAGTAAACACATCTCGTGTTTAAACGTAAGCCAACATAAATTTATTCTCGGATGAAAATCCTGCTCATTTTATACTTGAACCCTTGTACGCGAGAGGCGAATGAATTTAACAACCGAAGAAACAAAACTATTCAAACACGTTTTCTTAAACGAGAATAGGAATAGAAGAATAAATATAGCGCGCTGGTATGCTAAGTATAAAAATTCACCATGTGATAACAACAATGAAAATAAAGTTTTTCAGACATAAATTCAAAAGTGTTTCTATTGTAGTTTTGCCGTTCAGGGATTGGGCCTCTCTGAACTTTTTGACACATGCTTATGTACACGCAGTGAGCGATACTCAACAAATACTCCATTTTAAACGATGGAGGAAAGGAGGAGATAACATACGCATTTCCATTTAACCTCCGATTATATTTTTGTTTACTGATAAAACATTTCTTCCTGATAATTGCGTCCTATCAAAAGCAAAATTTGGTATGTCCCGGGAACCATCAACTGTTTATCATATTACTTGACCAATATATTTCTGAATGACTTTGCCGATGATAGTCAAGGTGATAATATCATCTTATTAGTTTTAAAATCTATCATTAAAAACATTGCATAAGGCCTAGGTTGTATCCAATCTTTTCTATTTTACAGATTTTTAAACATTGATAAGTTTAAAATGTGTTTAGTGTAAAGTTAGAACTTATAAATTCTCAATCAAACATTGGGTGGTATGAATAAAAGTAAGCAAGTACTCTTTACTCCGAGTTTCCGAGATCCTACTCAGTTTCGTATGAATAAAGTGGGTAAGCAATTGCTCAGTCTCTGAGTACTTGCTTCAGCTCTGAGCGTACTCTCAACTGGCGAGTAAATGCTCAGAATTGGTATGAATAAAGTTAAGCGTTTACTCTCTAGAGTGAGCACTTGCTCCAAAATTTCTGAGGGATCTTAATAGCAGACTCACGTTTGAAAAGTAAGGTTAAATTGACCGATTTTTTACCGTGTGTTGATATGCACATGCAGTGGAATAAAAAAATTCAAGATAATTCTCGTGATGTAGACTATTAGAATCTTTGCCGATTCGAAAAGTACAATGTATGGTTAAATAATTTTATATTCACTTAGCAATGCGGCAAAAATTAGCTGGGCCTCTAGCGCCTGTTTTTCGTTACTGCTATTCATATTCGAATTTAAAGAATGAGACAACACACCATTGCTCTTTATTCCACACAAATGTGCGCGACGCGCCTAACGTATGTAACCTTTTTGTTGCTCAAGAACCAAATTTTTAAAACTCTTAGCCTGCACTATCGTTTGTTATTATTCATATGAAGTTATTATTCATACGAAATGGAGCTTCTGCTCAGTGCTGCGGAGTAGACTCACTTTGCTCCGGAGCAAATACTCCTGAGCAAGTGCTCATTTTTATTCATATGTCCCATTGGCAAATATATACCATTATATATTGTATTATGTTTGTTTACTTAAACATTTTATTTTCAGGCATTTAGCTGTATTCCCAAACGTGCCACTTTAAGCCATTCCTATGGAATATGAATTTTGTTACCACACGCAGTCAGACTGTTATAATTTGTAATGAAAAAAATACGCTATAATGTCTGAATCACACGTTGATTATTTTAATACTCGAATCACACACCGGGGATTACTGGACTCCATTCAGTGTTTAAATTCTTATTTTTGTATTATTTCTCTGAACAATGGCGCGTTTGATCACTCTAAATTTGCTTATTGAAAAAATAATGCGATCACAGACTCCTGTACTAAGTAGTTTGGTTTGTGATGGCTTGACAATCGTGTTTGCGTCATTCGTCGATCTTGAGATTGTCAGACAAAGTTTTTTGGTCTAATTCGAGAGCTAAATTTCATTACGATACAATTGTTGCTGTTCAATATCATAAAATAGTTTTGAATTTTATTTCCCGTGTAATGTAATAAGTTTTCAATGGAGGAAAGCCATTGAAAGTAATAATTTCGAATGCATTCAAATCTATATGTTTCAGAATAAAATATTGATATTTATTATGAATTTATTTGTGAATGTTCACTTGTACATTCAGTTGTAATATTCTATATCTAATAATGTCGTAATGTTAGTATAATTATGAAAGTTATTTTCAAAGCAGATGAATAATTAGGAATCAGAAGTCCCAGTGTGAAATGCATGCTGACGAAATACTAAGGTGTGAAGGGTTTAATGTCTGCCAACTAAATTCAATACACAAAAATGATTCGTGATTTATATCTCTAGGATAAGCCTTGTTAATTCCAACACTACTTTTTGCCGTTGCTTTCCAGAGCCGCTACTTCGACTGCGAGTTCGACCAGAACGAGCAGGAGAAGACGGACGGAGGACTTGGCGCGGGCACGCCCATATTTATTTCGGAAGTGATCGGCTCAGCCTGCGTCATTCTCTAAGCGCATCCGGCAACATCACTGGGGTCCCCTAGGGTCAACTCTATAACTGGCTGACTACGAACACCGATCACCAGTCGCCGGTTACTCATCTCTGATTGCTAAATGTCCATTATCGGTAACTGAACACCGATTTGTTACTGGCCATTGGTCACCGGTTACTGACCTCATCACGTAGAGGCACGTATTGGCGGCTGAACTGCAGCCCGTTAGAAAGCTGATGTTGCGGTAGGGTCAACCTAAAAACGAGAAAGAAGTGAATAAAACCGTTGTTTTTATGTTTTGGTACCCAACACTTTTGATGAGATTTTAAGAAAATTGTCAATGTCCATTGGAAGATAACAGGCCGGTGCGCTGTTTTATGTTCATTAGATCGCGATTGTTTAAGCTCGAGTTTTCCATCTATAATGAAAGATACTTTCCGTCACTGTCCTTTGAATGTTGATGGATTACATATCGCCAGATAACAGGGCACTACTCCACATTATATGTTGTCCTCTTCAGTTCAGTCGATTCGACTAACATCACCCATTGGAATATGACATTTCTCTCCTGGTCAACACAATGGAAATCACAGTCCAGGTTTCCAGCTGCAATCCAAAAGAAGAAGCCTGCATCGCCATAAAATAAGGTAGGATTCAACTTGTTGTTTGTTTACAGAATGTAAGCGGTCACTCAAGTAAAGTTGAGAAGCTTCAACTTCTACTGTTGGAATGTAGCTGCTCCATGAGGTATTTCTGGTTCCTAAAAAATAACAAGAAGAGAGAATATTTTCCAAGAATCGCTCATTGTCGCTCATTTGCTGTAGTCGTATGGAATTATCGGAAGATTTAACTTATCTGTTTGTCCCAAAAGATATCGAGATCATCAGTAAAGTGTCGAATTTCTGTTGAAATTTTCTCCAGTGCTGTCCCTCGAACCCCATCCGGGTACAATTCGTCGGATAACATAACTCTTTCGTCGAATGGACATATCTCAGTTGCAGGGCCCTGTAGGGATGGGATTTGCTCCTCCTCAATGCTTGAGAGGTGTCAAGAATCTTGAGATTCTCAAATATTACATCTCGAGAGATAGTAAACTCAGTGTTTCATAGGTTTTTGTCTGTACAAAAATCTAAGATTTCTTTAACCGATTCATCAACAGAACAAAGGAAAATTTACCAAATTCTACGCTCTTCCTGAGGAATCTTATGAGAAACTCCGAGATTGATTTTGATGTATGAACGTGAAGATAATCATCTGTGCAAACTTTCTGAAACTATTGACGTATTTTTTCGCAGCAAGAAAAAACATTATTAAGAGTTATATTTCATCAGAGAATAGTCTTCATGAAGACCCAAGTGTAGCAAATCAAACGCACAGATGAGCAATTTTCAGGAAACACACCCTTCGGTGGTTGCACTGGAAGTGTCTAGAAACGACGAGCTGCGAACTTTTTCAAACTGCTCGAGAATCCCCAACTCAAGAAACGACCCAACACAGCGCCGTATGCCGAATACCGTTGGTTCCCGAAAACTGCCTCGATTTTTCTTGGAGTTTCCAACCCCGAATATCGAGCATCATCTGCTACACTTTAAACAACCTCAATCGAACTCGCGAGTTTGCAGAGTTGAAGTCTCCCCGTGTGTACCCGTTCATGTTCTCTCGTGGGAGCTTCGAGATTCCCGAGACGAAAGGCTCTCGGTTCCCAACCCTAGCGCTCTGCAGCCCCGGTGGGGATCCGTCTCCGGCGGCCTTACTCTGCCCCCCCCCCTTCCCGCGAGTCAGGGTATCGATCGGCGGCGTCCTGCGGGGCGCGGCCGAGAAAGGTCGACTATGGAGAGGAGGGACGGCTTCACCAGCAGCGAGCACGGACAAGAAGAAAACAGCCTGTCGACACGGATGAAGTCGTAAAAGAAAGAAGAGCTCTGGAGTGCTACTACACCATAAGTCTCCGAGGTATATGTTTCCTTCTGGAAACGCTGCACCACGTACGACATGCGGAGTGAGAGCGATGCCGTGCGTCCGTTAGCATACAACGTAAGAGTACGTAATAAACATAAACAACGCACTCATCAATATATAATATATACATAATCTTTAAAAACCAGCACGCGTCGTCTTTCCACCACATTCAACGAAGTATAACTTGTTCTTTGTGTTGTTTCTACGGTAAATAAGAAGGAAATATATTTTATGTGTAAGACGATAAATAATGTGTGTAAATTGTCTTAAATGTTGTAAATGGTGTTTATGAACAAGTACGTTTAATTGGGCTATTGTGCCCGGGCCTGGTTATACCCAGCAGCGGAGTAAAGACTTTTTTAGGGTGAAACAATCCTCAATGACCATGTCGTAGATTTATGGCATGTAAAAAAACCCTAGTATTCTCCAGGCAATATTATTTTTGGGCTGTCACTCAGTCTGTCTACCTGGATTTGTGAGGCAAATTGTCTTATTTATTTCTGTTCATTTTATTCCTTCAGTTTAGTCTATAGAATAATACATAAGTTACTGATGTCGAACAGGATTTGTTTCCTTTTCCTTAAACGTTTCAGATGAACACATTTCTGAAGTTTCCTCTGATATAAAACGTAGATACAAAGTTTCTTTCTTCGGTCATTTGACTTACTCGGTTAATAATTTAAATTCCTTGAACTCACACAAAAGCCTGATTTCTTCTCTCACAGAATTGTGTAGAAACACAATAATATATTCGACTTGTTTTAACATTGACAGTTATGTTAAAACGGAATCACAGTCGCCGCTTCAACAAAAAAAGGAGGGGCACCTATCGCACAAGGTTCCGGATATTCTATCACTCGGAATGTTAAATCAGATACCGATTCACTCCATTTCTTGTTTGGCTGTTTCGTCTTCACGTCATTAGCTTTAGCGCGAGATGGGTCATCTGAGTGCTTCGAGTGATAATATGAACTGATCAAATTCAAGGCCTGAACTTCATCGTGCAATGGGGGGGGGGCATCTGGGGGGGGATCCCCTTGCAAGCTGACGTGTAGATAGGCACCAGATCTCACCATCCAATTGGGGGAAGTAATCACATCAACATCTCGAGATAAAACGTTCACGACACTAGCGAGATTAATTACCTTAGTAGTCAGCGTGTACGGACTCATTAAATAATCGATCTATTATGAAAAGAATGTGGGATGACCACTTGTCCACTGTCTCGCCTACGTTGCACTAGTTGGTAGGCTTGTAGCATTGGCTGTGACGTACGCCGAACCTTCTATTTCTACTGAGTGGCAAGAAACACTGCCTTTCCGTGAAAACACTCCTTGGAAATGAGTGATACATTTGACGAAAGTACATGTTTTATGTGGCTTGCTAGAATGCCTGCACAGATATAATAAATGAATCTCGGACCTCAAAATGTTCGCTGTGTTGCAGTCAACTTAAAAAAGTAAACACAACAATCAATATACACCATTCAACGTTCTTAATCTATGTCTCTGAAAATTGTTTTAATCAAGGCAATAAATTTACGTCACATGCAGTGTGAAATTTGACGGAAATTTCTTAGTGGCGATTTTCAAGATTTCTGTTGTCAATGAAAAATGGAAACATTCATAAATAAATAAGCAAAAATAAATAAGCAAAATTCTGCAATAATAACCGAAATTACAAAACGTTTGTTTAGTAGATATCCAAAATAAAGAAGTAATTAAAAATGTATCTTTTATTGAATAGATTAAGAACGCGAACCTCGAATCATATAATAGCCTAGATTTTTAAAAGAAGCACGCTAACTTCTCAAAAATCTCCAAAATTGTCTTTTGGACTACCTTGTAATTCAAAGACAAATAAAGTACCTGAAATAAGCGAATGCCTGTCATACCACAGCTATAGACCAGTGTATCAAACACGACCCTTCACCAAGCACTAAAGCGATAGCTATATTTTTGTTTCTTGCTAATATGTAAAGAAAGAAGTAATATTAAGAAAATACCAATTAATGAAACTACATAAAAAATAATATATGCATACTTTTGAATTACTGATAAATATATGTATTGTTAATTATACATGCCATTTTCGATATGTAATTGTTTTGGGGCAAAATATTGGGTTTCGTAATTCGGTTTAGAGAAATTCAAATTTGCCTTCGGATTCCAAAAATTAGTAGCGCCGGATATAAGTTGTGTGTGATATAATTTTCTTACAAAATCATAAGATTATCCACTCCATCAATGAAAACTGACAAACCACATGGTGACAAAACTCTCGTTCATACATCATATACATTAGCAGAGACTATCATTTCTCCTCTAAGAAGGGAAAATTTTCTTTTTAACCAAGCAAACACATAGATATTAGAAAAAATTGCGCACTTATTCTTTAAACCAACGGCACACTTCAATTAAAAAACTCAATTTAACACGCACTGTATCCCGTCCGCATGGTACGCATGGTGGCTATTTATTTCTTTAACGTAAAAACCCGTTTAAATCTGTGGTAGGGAAGCATATTCTGAAAACGTTTTCTTGAGTTCTGGGATCGCAACTATTACTCATTGCAGCTGCATTACGAATATAGGTGGAAAACAGCAATTTTGATAAGAATTTATTCGCTCCCATGTAATAAAACCTATTTGCAAAAGTAAATCAGCTGCTAATTTTGGCTATTATCCCACATCGTGGTGTTCACCAAGGCACCAACGTACCGCTGCGAAACAATTACTTGAATAATTGTATTTCTCATTGAACTCTAGAACAATTACGCACATATTAAAGCTACATTTATAAAACACGTCGACAGTGTCACATATTGTATTTTATGCATACATTATTGTACAGCAAATAAAATTTTTGCATGTTAATGTGGAGAATGCATTTCATTGTAAGACAGTTTTTCGTAAGCCTTTGACTCTTTGAATTGCTAGTATAATCTTTATTTTATAATTTCAAAACACTAGCGATTTCCACATTTCTTTTTACAAACATGGCATCATGGATAACAGAAGCCCCACCTCACTAGTCCGAAGGCAATTTTCAATCACCCGATTTAATTATTACTACATTTTAGCACTTCATTGGAAATATTTTAAAAGATTAGTTTAATCTATAGTTTTAAAGATGATATTTTGAAGGTAAATCGTTGAATTTGAAGAATGAATTCGCAAAAAAATTGTGCATTTAAAACGAATAAAAGGTATCTATTTTAACGACATTCATTATTAATATCCAACATTGGTCTATAGCTGAAAATACCATTAAAAAAAAGAAAATCTTCCAAAAAAATTAGTTCATTAGAAATTAATCAAACATGCTAAATAAAGAAAAAGATATAAAAGAGAAATAATAGTAATATTTAAGTATTCTTAACTGTTCCACGTCATGTCAAAGAATTGATGAAACAAATTTCTTTTGTCTCTGTACCTTTGTGAAGTTAGAATACATTTTAATTAGATGGCAGTGGAAACATTTAAGAGATTTATTTTTGTTATATTAGTATGATGAGTGGAATGAGTTAAAGTGATTGAAATTACCCCATAGACATTAGAAATAAAAAGGAATTTGTTATTTGTGAAACAAATGGTTTTAGTTAGGTTTTGTTTCATCGTTAGAACAAGAAAGTACATAAAATACAAACTATTATTTCCCAGGGGCTCACAGCTTGTGAGTACGTGAGTGGCGATCACGGGAACCCGAGCTGAGACAGGTATTGCTTCCACTTACTCGTATCGGTCTCCTGCCTTCTCACTTTCCTATCAGGCCTCGTGGCCGACTCTTCCTCTCTTCGACCCGAAGCAATTTCACCACCAACGATACGGTGTCTTTCCTTTTCCGAGCTCTCTCATATTTTTCCTCGAAAGCTTGCCCGGAGGCTTCGAGGTACCAGATCAATAATTGATATAATATGGTCGTGGATCGGTAGTCTACTCAAGGCAAGGAAAGACGACATCCAAGGGACTGATCGGCACTGTAGGAGTCAGTGATCAACACTCCATCCGGCCGACTGCGACGGGAAAAAGGAAAAATAGGGCGGATTGCTGTTGAAGTGCCGCAGAGGGCGGACGATTGGCATATGTTGCGATGTTAAGTAGAGTTCGAACAAGGGTGACATTCGTTTTCGATGCAACAGCTCGGCGCAAGTGTTGCTGCCGGGAAGCGGCATCTTGAGCAGCAAGTGTCCTTGTATGGCCGGGTGCAAAGCTGATAAACTCGCTCCTACGGTGTTAAAAATACTTTCACCTCTTTTGCAGTGGAATAATATCCATTGATATTATTGCGATATAATTGATATTATACTGATGGAACTACATGAAAATTTATTATATTTTGTCTTTATTTTAAATATGTGATGATGAAGATATTTGTTTTTAACTCTCATCTCTTTAGACACATAGAGAAACTAAAATCACATCAACATTGATTAGTTAACCACGCTAATAACAATTATGATGTATGAGATGTACAAAATATCGCAGCGATTGGTGAAACAACTAAGAAGTACAATGTAAATTAGAATATAATAATTTAAACTTCAAGATCAAAATAATTTAGAATTTATTTATTTGTGATTAGCTGAAAACATAATGTGCATCACATGTATGTCTTAATCAAAAGGAAAGAAGTTATGCAACATACTGACCTGATGACACATATCGTTTACAGTGCTTTAATTTCTCTGATATAATAATTGACTTGGGATAAAATTTATTTAATCTATTCGCAAATTTAGAATTATCCTCGATATAATTCATTATTCAGTTATAAAATGTGCTTATAGCAACACGCCCACTGTACAGATACACCCTGCTAAGAGGTTGTTAGGTTTCGCAGAAAATAGCCGTAGAAAATTCGCAAGTTCTCCTCCTGTGAATTACTGTAGGATTAAGGAGATACTCAAGACTCCTCTACAAACAGGGACGTTCAATTTTAAACACCCATGAATATATAAAGTCGTTCAGCGTATCCGCGAGTCTGTCCCTTTTTCTCCCAGGGGCTCACAGCTTGTGAGTACGTGACTGGCGACCATGGGAGCCCAAGCTGAGACAGGTATTGCTTCCACTTACTAGTACCGGTCTCCTATCTTCTTGCTTTCCTTGCAAGCCTTGCTTGGCTGACTCTTGGTTTCTTCGACCCCGATGCTAGTAGTTATCGAACGCTAGGGAGTCTTTCCGTTTCATATCTTCCTGTCTGTCTTCTCTTCCCTTTAGACGGCGATATGAAGAAAGGCCCGGGGAAGTGCTCTGCCATTGGTCATGTCTGCATATTCTCCACAAATGATTATGGTAAGACTTGGGAGTGAGGGTGGAGATAGTCTCATTGCCTAGTCCTAAAGAAAGAACACAGAAGCAAGATTTTTCCCACTACGTACTCTTTTCGTGTAATATACATTTTGACAGAATGAGGTGCGAACATCATAAATTGACGTTACCCCATTAACGTCCGAATTACTTCTGCGCGCATGGAACTCACCCATAGTCATCATGGTTTAGAAGAAGATTCCAACCGACGCAAGTCATGAATACACACTGGCCAGCAGTGAACCATGCTTAAGGATCTCTGCAAAATCCAAATCTAACATGCAATCTAACTTCCCATTGGGAATTTCAAAGCTTGCTTATGTTTTGTTGAACGAATGCCGACGTGTATTGAAGAAAGAAAATTCGCAAATTAGTGCAAAAAAAGCAAATTTGAGTTGATCGGAAACTTGTGTCGTCAAATGCGGTCTTTGGGCGTCAATGTGTTAAGATATTATACTTTTTCGATTTTCTTATTTTTGTTTAATTCAAATTATTATGCGTATCCAAAGAATTATGACGTGTGTTATGTTGTGTAATGCCAAAGCCAAAGTACATGACTTTTCCTATGAAATACATTTCTTACACGAATCTTTCTGGAAGGCCAGGCACGACTTCAACGTCCTTACTCCTCTCGCCTAGAGAGAGTCCTCGAATTCCAAACATAGTAGACCAACTTTAGATATCGAATACTGCAATTAACAGTGCCGATAAGTAATAAAAGAATGAGTCCTCAAGGGCAAAGGCACTATATAATTAGCGAGTATATGAAAATTCACACTAACTGACTCATAACAACAGTACAGATTTGTATGCACTGTTAT